CTGTTCGTCCGATGTAGGTAAAACCTTTTTAGGGTCAGTAGACATGTTATGTAGATTTGCGGAATCAAGGTCATTTTGCGCGCACGTGCTTGCAAGAGCGTGCACGTGCAACACGTGAAATGACCAATATAATGGATATTGCCGTAACTTTTCTATTTTTTGATGAAATTTTTTGAAACTCATAATGTAAGGATACATTAGTAGTATGCACAAGCTGGCATGGTCAAAATAGCAAGAACTCACGCGCATGCACGTGCGCTTCGCTCTGATTGGCTGAAACTAAAGTCTCAATATCTTTCTTGTTTCTTGTCATAATCCTTTGAAATTTTGAACATAGTCCTACATTATGAAGATCTACAGCATGATATATAAAATGTTCATGAAGGCTTGCGCATGCGCGTGTGCTGCAATCTGATTGGCTGAAACTTTAAATGGCTATATCTCCTTTGTATTTTGACGAAATGCTTTAAAATTTAAAACATGTTCATGCATTAGGATATCCTACAAGATGATATAGAAAAAAATTCATGAAATTACGCGCATGCATGTGTGCTGCAATCTGATAGGCTGAAACTTGAAATGGCTATAACTCCATTGTTTTTCAACCAAACAGGGTGGGATTTAGAATACTGATAGATATAAGGGACTCCTACAAGAAAGTATGGTGATCATGCTCGTGCACGCACGTGCGTGCATTTCGAACGAGTGAAATTAAAAAACACTTGAATGAGTGATTTTTAATACTTTTGGACTGAATGCTTTAATATATAGTATATTAAGATATATAGATAGTGTAGACAAGATGATATGGTCATATCGCACATGTATTCACATGCACACATGTGCGATGGTAAAATTTGAATATAATTGGTATCCTTCTGGGAAAACGTTGTTAAAGTCATATATGCACAGAGTTTGTCTTATTTAATGAAGCTTACAGGGAATATGGCACCAAACGGGAGTTGGGGAGCGTTTGGGGAACATCTGTAACGGTTCCCGTTACAATTAGCACTAGTTATTATTATTTTTCTTCTTCTTCTTCTTCTTCTCGGTACTTTTTTGTCCGGGAGTGATCTTGTAAACTGTTCATCCGATGTAGGTAAAACCTTTATAGGGTCAGTAGACATGTTATGTAGATTTGCGGAATCAAGGTCATTTTGCGCGCACGTGCTTGTAAGAGCGCGCACGTGCAACACGTGAAATGACCAATATAATAGATATAGCTTAAATTTTTCTATTTTTTGATGAAATGCTTTGAAACTCATAATATGAAGATATATTAGTGGTATAAATATGATGACATGATCAAAATAGCAAGATCTCACGCGCATGCACGTGCACTTCGCTCTGATTGGCTGAAACTAAAGTCTCAATATCTTTCTTGTTTTTTGATGAAATCCTTTGAAATTTTGAACATAGCCATGCATTAGGATATCCTACAACATGATATATAACAATTTTCATGAAAACACGTGCATGCACGTGCGCTGCAATCTGATTGGCTGAAACTTTAAATAGCTATAATTCCCTTGGTTTTCAACCAAACAGGATGAGATTTGAAACATAGATATAATGGACTTCTACAAAAAGGTATGATCGACATGCACATCCATACACGTGCGTGAACGTACACTGCAATCTGATTGGCTGAAACTTTAATCAGCTATAACTCCCTTGGTTTTCAACCAAACGGAGTGGGATTTAGAACATAGATAGATGTAATGGCCTTCTACAAGAAGGTATGTCACCATGCTCATGTATGCACGTGCGTGCATGTGAAATGAGTAAAATCAAAAATACAATTGAATGAGCGTATTTTTTAATACTTTTGGATTAAATACTTTAATATTTAGTATATTAAAGTATATAGATTGTGTAGACAAGATGACATGGTCATTACGCACATGCATTCACATGCGCACGCGTGCAATGCTAAAATTTGAATGAACTTGGTACCCTTCTGGGTAAACGTTGTTAAAGTCTCAAATGCATAAAGTTTGTCTTATTTAATTAAGCTTACAGGGAATATGGCACCAAAAGGGAGATGGGGAGCGTTTGGGGAACATCTGTAACGGTCCCCGTTACAATTAGCACTAGTTATTATTATTATTATTATTATTTTTCTTCTTCTTCTTCCTGGAACTTTTTTGTCCGGGAATGATCTTGTAAACTGTTCGTCCGATGTAGGTAAAACCTTTTTAGGGTTAGTAGACATGTTATGTAGATTTGCGGAATCAAGGTCATTTTGCGCGCACCTGCTTGCAAGAGCGTGCACGTGCAACACGTGAAATGACCAATATAATAGATATAGCCACAACTTTTCTTTTTTTTATATGAAATGCTTTGAAACTCATAATGTGAGGATGTATTAGTAGTATAGACATGACGACATGGTGAAAATAGCAAGATCTCACGCGCATGCACGTGCACTTCGCTCTGATTGGCTGTAACGAAAGTCTCAATATCTTTCTTGTTTTTTGACGAAATCCTTTGAAATTTTGAACATAGCCATGCATTGGGATATCCTACAACTTGAAATAAAGCAATTATCATGAAAACACGTGCATGCACGTGCGCTGCAATCTGATTGGCTGAAACTTAAACAGCTATAACTCCCTTGGTTTTCTACCAAACAGGATGGGATTTGGAATATAGATAGATATAATATACTTCTACAAGGAAGTATGGTCACCATGCACATGCATACACGTGCGTGTACATGTGCTGCAATCTGATTGGCTGAAACTTTAAATAGCTATAACTCTCTTAGTTTTCACCCAAACGGGGTGGAATTTAGAACACAGATAGATGTAATGGACTTCTACAAGAAGGTATGGTCACCATGCTCATGTATGCACGTGCGTGCACGTGAAATGAGTAAAATCAATCATACACTTGAATGAGCGTATTTTTTAAATAATTTTGGATTAAATACTTTAATATTCAGTGTATTAAAAATATAGATTGTGTAGACAAGATGATATGGTCATGACGCAAATGCATTCACATGTGCACGCGTGCAAAGCTAAAGTTTAAATGATTTTTGTACACTTCTTTGTAAATGTTGTTAAAATCTCAGATGCATAGAGTTTGTCTTATTTAATGAAGCTTACAGGGAATATGGCACCAAAAAGGGAGTTGGGGAGCGTTTGGGGAACATCTGTAACGGTCCCCGTTACAATTAGCACTAGTTTCCTTTTGGGTTCTTTTGGGTCCTTTTGGGTTCCTTTTGGGTCCTTTTGGGTTCTTTTGGGTCCTTTGGGTAAATCGACGCACCGTACATTTTTGAATAGGCGCAAACTTGAAAACGCGCGAGACGTTGGAAGTGGGAATTTGTAGAGTGGAAGAATCAGTATTTGTGATCTATTATTTGCATAGTCACTGTGCCGTTTTCGTATTGTATAATTTTATTTCGATCGGGTTCAATATTCTGTTTATACTAATTATGGTAGCCATGCGGTTTGCCTGGTGTTGTGGAAAGAATAGAAATGCGTCTTGATCGTATAGTGGTTTATTTAGACTCTGTTATTAACTGAGTGTCACGGATTATCCGCGGGTTTATGTAACGTACGTTAACGTTATTGTTACGTCACAATACTGTACGTTATGTTTCTATAGTTAATAACAGAGTCTAAAATAAACCACTATACGATCAAGACGCATTTCTATTCTTTCCACAACATGTCACGGATTATCCGCGGGTTTATTTAGACTCTGTTATTAACTATAGAAACATAACGTACAGTATTGTGACGTAACAATAACGTTAACGTACGCTACATAAACCTGCGGATAATCCGTGACACTCCGGGCACCGAAATGAATTATACTAGAATATTAAAAAATTCAAATCAAATTACCAGTTCATTGAAATTTAAAATAAAAACAAGTTCATAATCACTCAATTAAGAGGTCCATTCACGGACTCTTTCTTTGTCTTTTGTTTTTGACACTCTATCCTCTTCTGTTCAGACACTTTATCTGCCAGGTTTCGTATCAGAGTCTCAGTTCCGGGGTGTTTGTGACATAGTTCTGTGTTAGATTAGTCCAGTTCCATGTTTCGAGTCCGTAGATTGGCATTTTGTTTATTATCTCTGCCATGTCCCTGAGATTCTTTTTCTGTGATTTTTCTTTTTCCTTCTCCCCAGTCTCTGTACGTTTTTCTGTCATCTGAGTTTCTTCCCTTCGTGTGTCATCATGGATCCTTACGGCGAACGTGTGATCTTTCTCCCTTCTTTCCACGGGGTCCTGTGAAGTTTGTAGCTGATTTTCAAGTGTCTGTACTTTGAAATTTAGATCACTTATTTGCCTTTGAGCGTATTCATATCGTGACTGAATACTAGCATTAGGATGCTCCGAGTGAGTGCTGTAGGTTTTGATATTAACAACTTGATCTTTTAATTCCCGAACCTCGTTATGCAGACGTCCGTTTTCGTACGCTAGTTTATTTATATGTTCCATCATATCCTTCATTCGATTCTCCACACGAATCTGAAAATTTCTTTGTTGGTCGAATTGTAACAATCTCTCTAGCAAGGTAGCATTTTCTTGTTCCAACGCATTCATCCTTTCTATCTTAGTCTTCAGCTCTGACTTAAGTTGCTGTACCTCGTTAGTCAACTTGCTACGTTCTTGAATGGAGTCCACAGTCCGACTCATCGGAGTGGAAGCTGATTTCCATAAAACACTTTTATGTCGTTGTTCAACGTTCATTTCTGTGGTTTTTGGTTTACTCGTTCCTACAATGTTGACAATTGTTGATCTGATGGGCTCGTCTATGTCCCTTGTTAGTTTCATGTCGCATATACTTGTGTGGTGTTTCTTCTGGCACTTTTTACATCTGTTGCGGGATTTACAATCTGCGGCGCGGTGGTTTCCTAAGCAGTTGAAACATAATTTCTTCTGTTTTAGGATGTCGAATCTTGCACTTACTTCTGTAACTTTCTTACAATCCCCTGGAAAGTGATTCTCTGTGCAACAATAAATGCATGGGCGGCTCTTTATCTCTGTTGTTTCGACATAAGGAGTTGACTCTCTTGTTTTCTGGTTGTGTCCATTATGAACATGGGTTGTTTCTTTGAGGCTCCGGTAAGAAACATTGCTGTTGTGTGGAATCCATCGCTGTTTTCAATCTGGCCTGATTCAAGGATTTTGACTTCTTTGCTGAAAGCTTTACGAAGATTGTGTAGTGAAATGTTGTCACCATCGTACTCACGTGCAATGTTTTTCCTGATTTCAGCTGGTAGCTTGTTCATTATGACTGGAATAAGTAAAGCTCCGTACATCTCTTGTTTTTGTCCTAGACACTCTAAACTCCTGACATGAGATTCCAAGCAGTCTCCATAATTTCTTAAACTTATGGCGTCGTTTCTCGGGGCATGCAGTTCCATAAGTGCTCTCATGTGAGCATTGATAATTTTTTGCGGTTGACCAAACCGTTCCTTGAGCAGGTCTATGGCGGTTTCATAATTTGCGTTTGTGAGAGTAAATCCTGCAATGGTTTGTGCTGCTGCGTCGCGTAATTGAGCCTTGAGATACGAAAACTTTTGAATTGGTGTTAAAGTTTGGTTGCGGTGAATTGTTGATTCAAATGAATCCCAAAACGTATTCCATTGTAAGATATCCCCATCAAAATCTGGAAGATTTAACTTCGGTAATCTATGATTATTCGTAGCGTGGTTGGATGGTAATGACAAAACATTTTTCTGCCAATCGTGGTTACTTTGTTCATCGAGATCAGTGGCAGGAAAATTGTTTAAAATATTCTCACATGCCGTTTCACTTGAGTTAATTGCAGCTGGCGTGTTTACGTTGCTATCATGAATTTCTAAGGCGGGTACAAAACACTCAGCACTGGCGTTCAAAGTTTCACATGAAACTTTTTCTGTAAATTTCTCTGTTTTCTTAATTTTGCAATCTAATTCGTACATATACTCATCTGTGTTTGTGATTTCTTCTTCTATGTCCTCTTCAGATAATGCGTCTAATATGCGTTCATTTAGTTCTTGTAGAATTTGTCTTTTTTGCGTCAGAGACCTTCTAATTATTTCGACTTCCTCCGTTACTTCACTGGCTGTATTTTCTTTCAAGTCCAAAAATCGTCCGAAAAGTTTCGTTACCGCTGATCTGTTACCGGCCCGTATGGCTTTCAATCTTCCTTCCATTGTGCGTATATTATGTAAACATTCCGTCGATCACGGCACCAAAATTGTTGTGGAAAGAATAGAAATGCGTCTTGATCGTATAGTGGTTTATTTAGACTCTGTTATTAACTATAGAAACATAATGTACAGTATTGTGACGTAACAATAACGTTAACGTACGCTACATAAACCCGCGGATAATCCGTGACACCTGGCGTTATGGCTGTTATTAGTTTGGTGATGTTGGCCTCCCTAAGGAGTAAGTTTTATATTGTTTTACTTGAATTTATATCTAACTTGATCATCTGTATCTAACATTATTATGCAATATATTTTATCATGTTTAAATTCTGCAACTACAATGTTTTGTAAAACCGCGCATTTCCAGCATGCGATAGGCATAGTCCAGTTCAGCTCACATGTTAAAGTTACGCATTTAATTTTGTATGATTGCTTATGATTTTGATATTTTGTCAAATTCTTATTATGCTTTTGTAATTTGTAGTTTCTCACCCTCTCACAAGATGTGTCCAATAAACAGTACAGTCACTGATCTTTGTCAACTTTTTAAGAAAATAACAGAATATGAAGAAGGAAGACTATATATAGGATCGATCTACTTCATAACTGGTGAGTGACAAAAAATGGAGGCAATCACTGAATCAGAATTCTGTCTGTAAATGTTACTGTCTATTTGTAAAATAACAACTAATTAAAGCACATTATGATAAATTAATAGGTCTCTTTTTTTAATGCAATTTTTGTCTAACTTTGCTTTGAGTTTGGATCCAACCATATAACATACATTAATTATAGACTGAGACTCAAAACATTCATTGGCCTGATTGATCTACAAAATGGTGGTCCAAGAAAATAGGCTTAAATTCCACTCAGAATGTTTTAATTTGGAAGTGTCTCTGATGCAAAATTAAATGAAACTAAAATGCATGAAAATACAAAAAAGTCTTATGTTTTACAATCATGGGTACTTTCAGAAAATCTTTCTTTTTGAAAGAAAAAGAGAAGCAGTTCACAAATGTTGATGAGCAGAAGACAAGAAACTCTGGCTGCACAAAAATCTGAGCTCTTGAAAAAGAAAGAAAATCAAAGTACTCAGAAGTACAGAGAGCCGGGCTCATTTACAGAGTAGAATGGATTTCTTACATGAATCACGTTTATATTCTGATGAAAAAATTATTTTAAAACTATCAATATAAATGGTAAGACACTGACAGTGAGTTTTTCAATCCTAATACCACGGTCCGATTTTGTCAGAATCAGAATTAATCTGGTACTGCAGCTGCATGTAAACAAACAGGCCAGTCTGGTTCCCTCTCCTGCTTTACCTTGTATGTGTAGAGAACTACGGTAACACTGATTATCAAAAATCCTTACGCTAATGAACTATGTTCTTTGACTTATGAAGTTTTCAAAGTCATTACTACTAATGTTTATTTTATATAGATAAAACTTCGTTTTATTTTTGTTGCTTTATTTAGCATTTGTATTATCTCAAAAGCGGTTGAGAGTAAGAATTTTTGCACGTAACTTTAAAATGGCGACTATGGGGTCAACATCCTGCCTTGAACAGGATCACATAAGCCGGCAATTGCTCTTTGAGCAATAAGCCCGGCTAAAAAGAAATGAAAATATGAATGATATTCAATCAAAGGATCCAAATGATGAAATTCTGGAAATTCCACATGGAGAGACAATAAGGATTTTTGAATTGACCATCTCCGCTCAAACTGCTTGAAAGCACTGAAAACTGTTACCCTGGTGCTGAACAAACTTTTCTCCTAGACTGGAATTAAAAACTGTTCAATTTCTGGCATTAAAACACAATTTGAAACATGCTGAGGAAGGATCCCCCTCTCCTTTTGACCAAGTAAGGTTAAAAATTCTGCAAAGAGTTGCATTTGAATTGAAATTTTTTATACTTTTACCAGGAATGAACTACATTACTCATTTACTATGGTTTAATGTGTCAGAATTGTCTATTTTAAGTTTTTTTAACAAAGATTTTGTTGCCAAGGTTGGAAAACAAACAACATTTCTGTGCTGTATTATAAATCATCTACTGTTACTTTTTTAGCATGACTTCATGCATTTTCATGAATAAACATGAATAATAATATTGCATTTTTTATTTACAAATAAGCAAGAATATTCTTGAATGCTAATGGTTCATGAATTTTATTCATTCATGAACATTCCTGAAAAAATTCATCAAATTATTCATGAATAGTTCATGAAGATGCAATGAACTTATTATTGGACATTCTTGAAATGATGAATCTTCATGAATATGACGCTTCATGAATTATCATGAAAAAAAAAATTCATGAATATTCATCAATTTTCTTTCATGAATAAAAATTCATGATTTGAAAATGTCCAATAATAAGTTCATAGGATCTTCATGAACATTTCATGAACATTTCATGAATAAAATTCATGAAAAATTCAAGGAAATTCATGAATTATTCATGATCGTCTCGCAGGGGTATATCCCCAAAGTCTTTTTCTTTTTAATGATATCAAAATTCAAAAGTTAAAAAAAATAATTTTTGTTAGGTAACACAAAAAATAATCCTTTGTTGACATTTGTTGACATTGCGTGAAATCACCTTCGAAAAAATAAAATTTATCGCTTATATGTATAACTCATGAAGAACAAACCCGAGCATAATTTTTCCACAACAAAGTGTACACGGGGAATATTCTCCCTCGTTACTAAACTCCATTTTTAAGAAATCTTTAAAAATATCTGATTTTCCTTTATTCTGTAAAAATGCATATTAATATAAAAATTACTATAGATAATATTCAATTAATTTCTTAATTTTTAAAAGATATATCATGACTTAGGATTCTACTAATGGAAAAAAAATACTCGGGTTTGAATTCTCTTCTTCTTAATTAGATATAACCGATAAAAGTATTTTTTTCAAAGGTGACTTCAAAACAGATCTTAACTTCCCGTCAGGAACTGCTGTTTGTCAACAAGATTTTTGGTCTAATAGATGTTTTCCATGTAAGGATTGTTGTAATAAACTATAAAATCAATCTTATAATTAATTTTTATATATTATCTATGTAATGACATAGTTTTATTGTTTAAGATAATATGTGCCTGTTTCAGATGAAGCGACTTTAAAGAATAGTTTTTGAAGTTTTACGAAATGCATGATATACATGTATATATGACGTAGATGATGCATCATTGTGTCATGGTATAAAAGGCAAGATTAATTTAAACATTAGTTAAGTTTAGAACCACAAATCACCACCTTCCAATTGAAACAGCTAGATGGAATGGTACTCAGAGATATGAAAGAGTTCGTAGCTTATGCAGTATGCAGTAGTGACCAGATAGGAGATGAATATCATAGGGAGGTCAACATTACCGCTACATTGCCTAAAATTCCAGCTCATTACCGCTACATTTTTTTCAGATTTTCGACCGATCATTACCGCTACATTTTTCCGGCAAAAAACAACTCATTACCGCTACATATTGAATCATCCAAAAACAACCCATTACCGCTACATACATCGATTTAGCCAGGTATGGTTTTGTGGTGTGTTCCCTGAACGTCTACTCATTGTAAAATTATTTAATTATCACACTCAAATTAAGGGGCCCTCTAAGGGGTACAGGTAGAGTTTACCTGAATTATCTATACCAGTACTTATTAAAGGAGGAATTCTACAGCAAAATTTTATTATTATTTTTTTAAAGATTTTATCCATATCAATAGGTGTATATTTTTCATAAATAATTTTAGCAACCATGAAAAACACTGCTTGTCTGGCTTTTCGTGACTTGTTTTATTAGATGTTAATATTGTACCTTTATTAACGGCAAGCTTAAAACTTAAAAAATAAGGCCTCTTAAATCCCCACCCCACCCCCAATTAAATTAGATTTTTGAAATTATTTTTGAAGATAAGTTGTCAAAAATTTTCTTTACATGTCTTGTGTAATACTGTTTCTTTTTCGAATTTAAAAATAGTTTTTTTTAATAAAAAATATTTATTGTATGAACAAAATTTAATATTTGTTTGGTGCTTTCAATTACATATATCAAGTATTTAATTTTATTTATGGTACATGAATTAATGAACTCCAGATTTTAAAAATATTTTAGTTTGGGTGAATTAACTGAACTTGAACTTGAGTACGAGGGTCATTCAAAAAATACGTAGACAAGGTTCCTTATCATCACATTGTTTTTACAAATCTTAATATCAGTACATTTTTAAATGTAAAAAGATATATTTTATAGATTTCCGAAGTTTCATTCTATTTGATTAAACGGAACATATACTAGACAATTTTAAATGTAACATGTTTTGTCGCCACGGAGCACGGTCAAAAACAGTGTAACGTCAAAAACAACGTTAAAGAACATTTCTCAAACTCACAGTGCCTTTTCATTTTATACATGGTTTGTATCGTATTCCTCATTCATTAAAACGTTTCCACAACACTTGACACCTAGTATGCTATCAATAATTTGAGTATAATTTAAATAAGATTGTCAATGTTTTTAAATCCTTTACCATGTAACTCTGCTCTTACAGGTTCCGCAACAGTGAAGCGCACGTCACGTTTCATGACGTTACTAACTCTTTTGAAAAGATTTTGAACTATAATCTGTTTTTTGCAGAACGCCCATCGCCAAATTTAAAGTCTTTACCCCTCAAAATTGTCTGTTCCATTAAAAAACAAATACACGGCTCATTTTATGTATTTTTCCTGGTCTCTCCAGCATTTTCGGAGTTTGTTTTAAGAGTTTCCAAATGCAAAACAAAATTATATTGCTACTCGCTGCTCCGTGACGTCCTTCAACGTCATGATTTTTTGCTTTTTTATATCAAGACTATCTGTCTATAGAAATGGATATCTTTTAAACAAAGCAATGTATTACATTAACTTTTTGCTTTTGAAGAAATGGAACAATAGTTAATTTAAATATGTAAATTTTATTTCATTTAAGGACAATTTTCAAGAGG